GACATTTCTCCACTCTGTGTAATTACATATGGCATCAGTGCAAAGTTCCACAACACTATCGATTGTGACAAGTTTCACTTTAAGTTTAACTAAAAATTGGGTAGCTATTGTTTCAGTTGAAGAAACTAGCCAAATAAACTGGGTTCAATTGTTGCCCCACCTTTGCCGCTTTAGGGTGCAGAAAACTATTACATGCTTGATCCACTTCTCCTTATTGGCACTAACACCCATTAAAAAAAGTCTCATAAGCACCTCAAAATAGGCCATGTCTTACCCACCTAAGCATGACAATTGGTAGTCATTTCAAACTGATTTGTGGTCACTGCTAGAATAAGATTTTTTTTTAAATTAATTGTTGCACTGTATGATAGGGAAGCCTCAGAAGGGTAGCGGTGTTAGTCTATAACTTTAAAAACAACAAGTAGTCCTGTAGCACCTTAAAGACTAACAATATATATAGTATCTCATCTGATCTGAAGTGGGTTTTTCCCACGAAAGCTCATGATACTATATATATAATTTTTATTAGTCTCTAAAGTGCCACAGGACTTCTTACTGTTTCTAGGATAGGGAATAATTCTACAGTCGGGAGCTAGATTCCACAGCCAAATTACAGTGTAACGAACCAAGCTGATCCACAATGATAGGTCTTTAGACACGCTAAGCAGGGCCAAATAGACAGTACAGAGAGTGGCAGAGTTTTTGTCTCCTTTGATAGAGGATTAGTTAAGCATGCAAGAGGGGCTTTAATCCACCTCCATTTCAGGTTTGAATCTACAGAGTACCCAGTTTGCTTTAGTTTGACTCATGCCTTCACAAAATATAAAATACTGGCTAAAAATCCCAGAAAAAATAAAAACACAACCTTTCCTAAACATTATACATATCATTTTTTGGTTGTGGGAACAGCAAAATTAACTGAACCAGTCAGCATGCCTGTGCTTTATTTCCATTGGTACATTGGAACCAGAGGGTATGTCTACACTACCCCACTAGTTCGAACTAGCGGGGTAATGTATGCATTGTAATCGGGCGTGGGGCACTACGTATGTGGTAGCCACCATGTGTCCCATCAGTTGTAGACAAGTGAGGATAGATGCTCTGGGCACTGTGGAAAGGACCTGTACGAGATCCTGGATGGTTTGAAATCTGGCTTGGGGCAAGTAAGCCCTCCCAGTGGCTGAGTCTAGAAATGAACCTATAAACTCTAAGGACTATTGCAGTGTGGTAGATGATTTCTGCAAGACGTACAGTTCCACGAGGCGTACAGATAGTTCGGAATAACTACATAGTTCGAACTATCTAGCCCGTGCCGCGTGTAGACGCGCGGCACGGGGTTCGCACTAGCCGGCTTTTAAAAATGGCAGCGCCGGCTTTATGCTAATGAAGCCCGGGAAATTCAAATCCCGGGCTTCATTAGCAAGTTCGGTATGCATACATTACCCCGCTAGTTCGAACTGGGTAGTGTAGACATACCCTTACTGATTACCGTACAGGGCTTCTCACATTTTACAAAAGCTGAAAACTAATGTTACCACAGTTTAGAAATAGAGTTAACAATGGTGATAACATTTGTTATAACCACATGCAGAATAGATCTCCAACAATACAATACAACACTATCAAGGCATTTTTGTGACAAATTAAGTTAGGATATAGCTAGTAACCCCTCACTCACAGATCTATAGATGTCCTGTGACTTTGTCCTTTGATCGGCTTTTGTGATGCTGGTAGACCAGGTGGCAGCTCTCACCAGATGAGCAATGATAAATTCAGAGCTGGAAACCAGACCAGCTCACCTGTACATTAGTCTTGCTCAAGACAGGTGTTAGATTCGTAAGATGCATGCAAGCATTTTACAAAGACTAAATGCATTAATCTTATTTATGTCTGAATCTCACACTATACAAAAAAAGACAGTTACCTGTTTTGTAATTGGTGTTGTTTGAGACATGTTGTTCATGTCCATTCAACATAGGTATGTTTGCCTGCCACATACACTGGTGCTGGAAGTTTTTCCCTAAGCAATACCCATAGGGACTGGGGTCCCCAGTGCCCGCTAGAGTGGTACATGCATGGCATGCTATATAGGGCGCCCCTCGGCCCCTCCCTCAATTCCTTCTTGCCAAAACTCCAACAGATGGAAGGAGGGTGGGAGGCCGAAAGGACATGAGCAAAATATCTTGAAGAACGTTTTACAGAACAGGTAACTATTTTTTTTCCCCCTTCGAGGGATTGCCCATGTCCATTCAACATAAGTGACTATAAGCAGTGTCTGTGGAGGTGGGTAGCAGTTATGAAAACAGACTGCAAAACATCCCTGCCAAACGTAGCATCCTCCTTGGCCTGCTGTGTGATGGCATAATGAGACGTGAAGATATGGACCGATGCCCACGGTGAAGGTTGCTGCCCTACAGATGTCCTGGATCAGGACATGCACAAGGTAAGCTCATGGAAGCTTGAGCGCTAGTGGAGTGGGCCATAATCAACTCCAGTAGCTGGGTCCTCATTAATTCATAGCGCATGAAGATGCAGGAAATAATCCATTTGGACAGCAGCTGGAAAGAAACCCCTCACCACACACCACAGACCTCAAACAGCTGGGTAGATCTGTGAACGGAACATGTGCTCTCCAGGTAGAAGATCAAGGCCCAACACACATCTAGTGCATGGAAGCACCTTTCCTCATTGTTCCCAGGAGGCTTGGGATAGAAGATTGGCAGAAAAGTGTCCTGGTCCACATGGAAGGCAGAGACAATCTTGGGGAGAAAAGGCCAGGTGTGGCTACAGCTGGACCTTATCCTTGAACTGGGTATTCGGCGGGTCCGACAGCAGCACTCAGTGCTCCAACACCCACCTAACCAAAATGATGGTGATCAGAAAGGCTATCTTGAAGGAGAGTAAGCAACAGGGTGCACGTAGCCAGGAGCTCAAACAGATAGCCCATGAGCTGTGCCAGGACCAGGTTCAATTCCCACAGCGGGAAAGGGTCTCTAACCTGTGGGTAGAATTGCTCCAGACCCCTTGCAAACTGAGAGGTGACACCATGAGAGAACACTGAGTGACCCTGAATTGGTGGATTGAATGCAGAAATGGCTGCATGACTTCAATGGTGGCCAAGGATAGATCTTGCCACTTCAGGTGTAGCAAGTAGTCCAGGATTACCTGAAAAGAAGCTTTGGCTGGAACCACTCACTGCTGCTGTGCCCATGCAGAGAAGCGGATCCATTTGGCAGTGTAGGTGGGCCGTGTAGAAGGCTTTTGACTCAAGAATTTCCTGAACATCATGTGAACATGCCAGTTGCTGCGGGTTCAACCATGGATGAACCACAGCGTCAGGTGGAGTGAGCTGATGTTCAGGTGGAGCAAGTGACCCTGGTCTTGGGAGAGCAGATCAGGCTTCAGTGGCAGCATCCTGAGTACGTGCAATACTGGGTTCATCAATGCCCTGAACCAGTGCTAGCGAGGCCAGGCCGGCACGATGAGGATGATCATCACCTTGTCCCTCTTGACCTTTGGCAGGACCTTGCCAATGAGGGGAAATGAAGGAAGGCATAAAGGAAGGCATAAAGGAGACCATCCGACCACTTGTACAGGAACACGTGGCAGAGAGCCTTGCTTGAGTCCAAACCTGGAGCAGAACCATCTGCACTTTGCACTGTCTCTGGTTGTGAAAAGGTCCAGTAGGGGACATCACCAGTCACTGAAGAGTGAGACCGTCACCTCAGGGTGAAGCACCCACTCATGGGGGGGAGGAGAACTCTCTGCTGAGACATTCTACAATCACGTTTCTGACCCGTGGGAGGACCTCACACGCATTCCTGATCACCCTGAATTTTTACCTTTATTACCTCTCTTGGGTGCGCAGGGTCCCCATGTGGGCTCTCCAACCACAGTCCTTAATTCAGACTATTGTACATATTCTACAGACCCCCCCCCCACCCCAAGAGGAAAATCCCTAGAGATAGCTACTTCTCCTCTCCCCCCAACTACTGGAACCAAAGAGAGTTATAGAGCAGGGGTGGGGAAACCTCAGGCCCCGGGGCCGGATGCAGTGCCTGGCTTTTCTGAATCCAGCCCCCGAAGAACTTCAGCCCTCCCCTCCTTCCCCTACTGCAGTTAGTGCACACAAATCTACTAGCCTGGACCCTTCTAGGCTCTGGTGTGTGAGGGGAATGTGGGGAGCGTCTTGCTCCTCAGTTGGGGACCACATCAGTCTTTTATTTTTTGCTTCTCACTGGTGTTCAGTCCCCGACTGATTTTTCAGTGGCTCTGCAATCCTGCCCCCTGACCCAAAAAAAAAAAGTTCCCCAGCCCTGCTAAAGAGGTTGAACCTCCCTGGTCCAGTACCCTCAGGACCTGATTGATCCTAAACAAGCGAGTTTGTCAGACCAGAAGAGGTCAGTTCTAGTCCCCCTGCCCTGCCAACCCAGCTCTGTTCCTGGCTTAGCTCATCCTCCCATCCAGTCCCCCCCACTCCATCCCGCCAGTCCGGCTGGGCTCACGGCCACCGTAGGGCTGCTGTGTTGGGTTCCCAGCTGCCAGCCCTGCCTCCACAGCAATCCCACTGGCACTGGCCTAGCTAGACTGCTGCAACAGGGCTCCACTGTTGTTCTGGCCCAGCCAAACTCCCACAACAAGGCTCTTGGCCCCCTTGCTGTTAGCCTGGCTGGGTTCCCAGTTGCTGGCCCTCACCAGGACTCTTGGTCCAGGAACATCCGTGGTCCTGCCTGACCACAAACGTCGCTTGACCAGAAAGTCCTGATTTAGAGGTTTAACTTGTACAGTCAGAGAAAATGCACAACTAACAGAACAGTATCCACAGCTGTAAATCCTCAAAACATTTCACAGAAACCATGTAGGGTATATGTATGTATTTAGTGGGCTGCCACTATGTTTCTATAAAATTCACAATACACACTTCTAGACTCCTGTTGCTGTAATGCACACCTTGATTCAGACTTTTCTGAAGAGTCTGATTAGTATAACAGTAAGCAATGTTGTTTTAACAGTTTATTTACATGATTTGTATTTGCAAAAAACACAATCTTAAAAATACAGAAGTAACAGGCCATCTGACATCTTCAAAACACACTAATTACATATAACAACCTCAAAATGCTATTTTTTAAAGGGAATCATAAGTTGGAAATGTTACACATGACATACAGGCAGTTAGTTCAGAGTTATTAAAATGCAGAAATATACACATTTGGACAATTCCTGAGATGGTGTTGGATAATAGAGAGAAAACGTGATTATTCTAAGATGTACAGCTTGCAAAGGTACAAAATGACTAAGTATAGCAAAGATGTAGGAAAAAAAGCTTTGGAAATTATACATCAAAAACCTATAAGTAAAAGTATTAGTGTTAAACACTCTAACAAGGCCCACAATTTCAGCTTGGCACTGTAGGAGCCAGTGCATGAATAAACTACACATATAAAAGTAGTTAAACAACATTCTGGAGACAGTTTTATAACTAGTCTCAACTCAAAGGCTATAAATACAGTTTAAGTACAGTGTTTTTTCTTCCTTGGACTTGCACATTTTAAAAGTGTTCATTTTAATTTGTTATCAGATCAAGTTATTCTCGGTGGCTAAGCTAGTCACAGAATTCCAAAGTATTGGGTTAGAAAAGGATGCATAGAAAATATGAACAACCACATGCATTAGATCACTCACAAGTATATTCATGTACTAACAACCTAGATCGTCTAGAATATCCTGAAAAAGCAGCTGTATAACAGGCCAACTGTCATACTCTGAAGGAGCACATCTGAAGCAAACTATTTCTGTTTAGTCAAGGGTCCAGGCATTAGCTTTTAAGATAAGGAATACAGAGCCAACTGGTGAAGTTAAGAAACCTCTTCTAGATTAACTGAAGAACCTCATCCAGTGGATGACTTAAATAAGAGACTTCTTAATTTAAGCATTTGACAAGTTTATAGCCTAAACTAGACAGTTTGTTGAAACAATGAAGAAACAGATCTGTGCAAAGTAATATATTATATCTAATACTAGATCAAATTTTTCACTTGTTTGGTCGACTAGGTGATCTGCTTCAATACTAGTCAAAGAGTCCCTACTGGTTAACAAGATATTGGGTAATATTAACGTAAAGGTCATTAAAGTGATATTGACTAAAGTACCATTAATGTCAGTAATAGATCATCTGAACAGCCAGTTGCTTGTCAGTCATTACATTATAGTAGTCCATTTTAAGTCTACTTCATATCAAGTGGGTTGTTGATCGACTTAAGGTGTGACTCCTCTTTGCAAACATTGAGGGAAGATTTACCAAGGAAGGAGAAGCAATAGCCTGGAAGGGGGGAAAAAAAGTATTTGTTAATATGACCAAGTATCAGTCTCAATGTTATAGTCATTTTGGAGCTTGAGGTGTAGGGGGCACACAGCAGCTCAGTTTCTTCAGATATAGGCAGACTGCTAACCCTTATTTTAAGGAGTCAGCATTTCTGAGTTTTGGATAATGAACTTGGTTAAGTTGGATAATGACATATGGTTAAGTTCATTATATAAAAATGAAAATTTGCCCCATAACGAGACTGTTGAAAGGTATGCATGGTTCTAGAACATCTGAAGTAGTTCTCTTAATAAAAGCAAAACATACCTAATCCACATCCTCGTGCAGTTCATGCTTTCACAACAGCATAGTATCTCCTTCCAAGTTTTCCAACTTATAACTTGTTATAAAACAGTTTGCTATATTAGCAAGTCTTGAAAGATTGAGATGAGCTTTCCATAGCTACATCACCACTTAAAACTTTTTATGCTCTTAACATTTTCAAGCCGCAAAAGCTCCTGATTTGACGCTTGAAGAGACTTTGGTATTAAAGAGAACCAAACAAATTAACCTAATTTTATTATTGAATAGTCTTAGCATATGTATGCCTGTATATGATTGTCAACTAGACAAAAAGAGTTGCTATTCTGATGTTGTGAACAAGTCTCAGAAAAACTGATGACCACAAGCTTAGTTTGCTGCTAAGCAAAAGTTTATATTCATTTTAGTTTAAGATTATTTATAAGGGTTTTTTTATTTTGTTTTGCAACCTCAGAAGTTTGTTTTCAATTGTAGCAACAACAGGTGCTAGTATTATAGTTGTTAACTAGGAGAGAAATGTATTCTTATGGAGGTATTTAACAGGATGACCATTACATAATTTACTGTTTAAGATTCATATAAGTCTCAATAGTTGTATTCAAGGAATATTTCATATTCGCAATCAGAAGCAGACTACACACTGAATCCAGAATTTAATCAGTCACATCTTGACTTCAGCATGAAGACTCTCCCGTACTCACACTGAATGTGTAAATATAAAGAGGCACTGCAATGTTATCAGAGCCAATAGGGTTAAAAAACTTGGAAAGAAATCCCATGCCCCTGATATTAGTGATAATTTAAATTCCCCATTTCAGACCCAACTCGTTAACAGAAGAAATATTAAGTAGCCTAATGGTAGGTGAGATATGCACCAAGACAGTCCAAGAAAAAGCCAGCACCCATTAGAAACATTTGACAGATTCTTTATCTTCTAGTAGTTGTGTTCTTTTGTCTCTATTAGTGCCAGATATAAGAATTGTTCATAAGCTCACTTTATGCAATGTAGGCATTAAAGATCAGGGTTTGACGACGGAAATGTTTTCAACGCCACTCTGGTCATCTACATCACAGGTGGTAATAATGACAGGAATGGGACATGGTCTGGCCAATGAATAGCCATTTATATTTTCAGAGCTGGAAGGAGAAGTTTTTCCTCCTCTGGCATGTGAAGGATGGCTAGTTGGAGAGTCAGGACGGAAAACATGTCGAGGCCTGGAATTTTGAGAGCTCCCATCAATAGAATTGGAGCGCTGAATGCTAACAACATGTTTGATGGATCCACTTAGGCTGTATGTAGAAGAGGAACGAGCAATCTACAAATAGGAAGGGGAGGATGAAGAGTTAATGCAGACACTGCATAAATTCACTGGTTATTCTTATGCCTTATTTTCAATGCCATTTCTCTTTAATGAAAAAAAAGTTGCACATACCTATGGCCAGGATATCTAGACTAACACTTCACCTAAACAATTCCTTTGAGTCCTTTATAAGAGGTTAGTGGGCTCTTATGTTCTGCAAATTTTAAAAAACTTACTCAATATCTTCAGATTAATTTTATAACAACAGCAGTGAGATTATGCCATAGCACTTCAAAAAGGTTCAATAATGCATACAAGTAAGATCAGAACTCTTTCTGCAGTAGTTTGGAGATTATTTCATTTTAAGACAATGACAAATTTACAAGTTATTTTCATCAGAAGCAGACTACACACTGAATCCAGAATTTAATCAGTCACATCTTGACTTCAGCATGAAGACTCTCCCGTACTCACACTGAATGTGTAAATATAAAGAGGCACTGCAATGTTATCAGAGCCAATAGGGTTAAAAAACTTGGAAAGAAATCCCATGCCCCTGATATTAGTGATAATTTAAATTCCCCATTTCAGACCCAACTCGTTAACAGAAGAAATATTAAGTAGCCTAATGGTAGGTGAGATATGCACCAAGACAGTCCAAGAAAAAGCCAGCACCCATTAGAAACATTTGACAGATTCTTTATCTTCTAGTAGTTGTGTTCTTTTGTCTCTATTAGTGCCAGATATAAGAATTGTTCATAAGCTCACTTTATGCAATGTAGGCATTAAAGATCAGGGTTTGACGACGGAAATGTTTTCAACGCCACTCTGGTCATCTACATCACAGGTGGTAATAATGACAGGAATGGGACATGGTCTGGCCAATGAATAGCCATTTATATTTTCAGAGCTGGAAGGAGAAGTTTTTCCTCCTCTGGCATGTGAAGGATGGCTAGTTGGAGAGTCAGGACGGAAAACAGGTCGAGGCCTGGAATTTTGAGAGCTCCCATCAATAGAATTGGAGCGCTGAATGCTAACAACATGTTTGATGGATCCACTTAGGCTGTATGTAGAAGAGGAACGAGCAATCTACAAATAGGAAGGGGAGGATGAAGAGTTAATGCAGACACTGCATAAATTCACTGGTTATTCTTATGCCTTATTTTCAATGCCATTTCTCTTTAATGAAAAAAAAGTTGCACATACCTATGGCCAGGATATCTAGACTAACACTTCACCTAAACAATTCCTTTGAGTCCTTTATAAGAGGTTAGTGGGCTCTTATGTTCTGCAAATTTTAAAAAACTTACTCAATATCTTCAGATTAATTTTATAACAACAGCAGTGAGATTATGCCATAGCACTTCAAAAAGGTTCAATAATGCATACAAGTAAGATCAGAACTCTTTCTGCAGTAGTTTGGAGATTATTTCATTTTAAGACAATGACAAATTTACAAGTTATTTTCCCCATTCAAATGATGCTCTTCGATTGTCATCAAGTTTCAGTGCTACTGCGCATTAGGCCATTAAAATGCTTACCAGAAGGCCTGCTTTGATCAATACCCTAGGTATCCCAGGCATTAAGGTTATCTGTCTCAACAATATACAAAATAAAAATCAGACAACTGATTCAATTTTCTTTTTTAAATAAGACGTTATATGCATCTTTAAGAGGTTGGATCCAGAATACAATTCCATGGGGGAATTCAAGGATTTCCTGTTGGAACTAGGAGTCCACGGAATAATTAGTACAAATCCTTAGGCAAGCAGCAAGATTGGAGTAGGCTGACCTACTGGGAGAAATTGTATGTGCTAGTGTAACTCCACTATGAGACTCTGGCTAACAAAACAGAAAACAATATAAAGTGATCACCCAAACATAGTGGGAAGAGCTACTTTCACCAAATCCAAAAATCGGCATGATATTGACAGAGGGACAAACCCTGAAAGACTTTGAGAGTTGGGCGACTATTTAGTTAGGACTAGCATATGAGCCATTTCTTCTTTGAGCTGAAAACACACTGATGAGACATGGCCATCGCCCCAGAGAGCAAGCAGAACTGAAGGAGCTCATAAACAGCATGCTGGGAAAGTGAATTGAACAGGGAATTGCATTCTACATGGAGACCAGGAATATGCAAAATCTGGCCCATGGGCCGAATATTGTATACACACAATTTCTATCCTGCCTGCTAGGTTAATTAGCAGACTGTGCTCATAGCATGTGTTGAGCTGCCCCTCCCCCTACCATGTGCCATCCTGCAGCCAAAACACTACGGAAGGTAACTAAGGAATAACTTGTCCACAGGGATGGTTGCATCCTTCCTCCTGTTAGAGGTTAGACTTGGGCTGTGAGCATCCCCCTTTCAAAAAAAAAAAAAAATCATTTACAGATTTAATTTTTATTCTTCCTCCTCCGCCACTACCGTATCTGTCTATCTTCGTTATGGTCCAGTTTGTAGCTCATAAATTTTCTACACATCATATGTCCTTACATAGTTAGGCTTCACCCTCAAACACGTCAGCAGAACTACAAAGGATTGGTTGGATCCCCTTCTTTTCTGTGCATTAAAAAGATGAATTCTAAAAATTTTGAAAATCTCTTAACACTTCCAAAGAGTCAGCTATCAAACAGCTTGGCAGCATGATGCCCATACTGTGTTTAGGCAAGAGGGAGATGTTGCATTTGGATGGGGCTAGATCATTTTAGAGTTTAAGGTAACTCTCTCTCACCCTTTGGGGACTCCTTGAGGGCACCCACACTCCAGGTGACTAAGGGCCTGAGACTTTATTTTTGGGTGGAATCCTACAACTCTGTATCAGAAGTGAACAAGAAGTTTCACAGGGAGGCCACTCCACAAATTTTGGAGCCATCAAGGGCTCGCTCTGGGCCTCTAGTGTGGGTAAGAGGGGTGGAACTGGAGGAGTGAGCTGGCTGCTGCAGAAATCTTAGAAAGAGTGCACTGCCTCGAGAGAAGCACTCGTCTCAGTCACTTGCCATACTTCAGCAGCTCCATTTTATGCATCTGTGCATCCCCTTCTCCCCAACACCTGCTCTGCAGAGATGATGAATGATGATGATGGCGGTGATCACTCATTGCCGAGTATGATCATCTTCCATGGGAGTTGTGGACCCTCAGGTGGCTGATAAGGTCAATCCTTGAACCACAAGTTGTTACCATGAGGACAGATGTTTCCAGGTACAGCAGGAAGCTGTTGACCATGACTAGAAGCCAGTCTCCCCTTCCTCCTGCACTTCTCCTCCTCAGTTTGTAGGCAGGCAAATTGAAAATGCAGGGAGGCATTACGTAGGACTTGTCTCCATTTTGAGTGATCCTGGGCAAGTGTCTCCCAAGTATCAATGTCAAAGGTGCAATTCAAGCTCTCTTTTAGCACATCCTTATAACATTTCTGTTGTCTTCCCATGTTACGGTATCCTCCTTTCAGCTGAGAGAACAGGACATGTCTTGGAGGCGATGGTCTGGTATCTGAACAATGCAACCAGTCCAGCGAACTTGCTGATGGATGATCACTGTCTTGATACTGGTGGTCTTTGCCTCTTCCAGAACACTTATCTTTGTCCACCTATCTTCCCATTTGATCTTCAAGATCTTGCAGAGGCAGCTTTGGTGATACCTCTCAAGGACTTTCAAGTAATGTCTGTAGATTGTCCAGGTTTCAGACCCATGCAATCGTATTGGGAGAATGACAGCTTGAGACACAAGAAGTTTGGTGTCTGTTTGAATTCGTGACCTTCAAAAAACTGTGCGCCATAAATAAGAAAGGTTTAGACGATGTTGGATTTCTACATATCTGCCTTGGATGAAAGGCAACTTCCAAGGTAGAGGAAATGATTGACATTTCCAGTGCCTCTCCCCTGATTTGAATAAATGGGGACTTTGGTCTTCTTGATGTTGAGGATGAGACCAAGACTTGCATAAGCATCAGCAAGCACATTCAAGATAGTTTGAAGATCTCAGAGTGGGCAAAAACTGCATTGTCATCAGAATACTGAAGTTCCACGACAGATGTGGTGGAAATCTTACTCTTAACTTTCAGCCTAAGCTAAGCCTAAACAGTTTTCCATCCATTCTGTAGATGGATTTCAACATCAGCTGGGAGCTTCCCAGCAATTAGGTTAAAAATAACTGCAATAAAGACTGCGAATATGGTTGAGGCAAGGATATGGTTGAGACAAGGATACAGCCCTATCTGACTCTGATTTGTACTTTGAAAGGTTCACTCTGAGCAACAGTACAGCTCAGAATAGTCGCTTTCATGTGATCATGAATCAACTTTAGGACACTGATGTATTTATCAGGACATCCAATATTTGAAAGTACAGTCCAAAGGTCATGGCGATTCACTGAGTCAAAGGTTTTAGTTAGATCAATAAAAGCCATGTACAGTGATCGGTTTTCCTCCGGACACTTTTCTTGCAGTTGCCCTGCAGTTAAGATCATTTTTTGCGACATGGTCAGAAGCCACTCTGTGATGCCAGTAATATTTCTTCTGACAGGGGCAGAAGACGGGTTGCGAGGACCTTTGCCTGCAACAGCAAGGAGAGATACCACAAGAGTTTCCACAGTCTGCTTTGTTCCCTTTCTTAAAGAGGGTTACAATCAAGGAGTCCCTCATTTCACTGAGCAGCTCCTCCTTTATCCAAATTTTAAGGCTAAGCTTCCGAATTAACTCTGGTCCACCATCTTTAAAGATTTCAGAGGGGATCCCATATGGACCTGCTGCCTTCTTGTTCTTCATCTGCTTGATGGCACTGTATACCTAAAAAATTGGGAGGCTTTCTGAACTCATCCCTAAAAGGTCCTCGGGGGATTTGCTCAAGAACTTCATCTGCAACCATGGAGTTACTATTAAGATCTTCAAAATGTTTTTTCCAGCCACAGTTAATGGCTTTGTTATCCTTCAGAAGTGTGGTTCCATCCTTTGACCAAAGGGGGTTTATGCCATGACAAGTTGGTCCGTAAACAGCCTCAATGGCACTTAAACACACAAACACACAAACCACGCACATGCATTAGGGGTATCCACAAAACTTTGGAGTTCTTGCACGGTCTCAGTCTATCATTTGTCTCTGAGTTCTCTAGTTGGAATTCTGCCATTGCCCACGCATGGACTTCTCTCTTGGTACTGCAATTTATATCATTCTGCCAAGCATGAAATGCCATTCTCTTCTCACTGATGAGTTGCTTGATTTCAACATCACTCTCAACAAACCAGTCCTGATGCTTTCTGGTGTGGTAGCCAATGGTTTCCTCACAGGTATTGATGATTGCTGTTTTAAACTGACTCCAATATTCCTCAATTACTTCTGGAAACTCTAATGCAAGCTTTTCTTCTAAGACTGCTTGGAAAGGATCTTAATGGGGTCCTTTCAGCTCACACCTGACCTGTTTCTTTTGCAGCCTGCAGAGATGGGGTAAAAGGGCAGGACGAAGCCCTGATTTCAGCATTCCCCTTCCTCTGCACAGCTAATAGGATGGTCCTGGGGGATAGATACAATAGCAGGGGTAGGGGAAAATAACACTTACATCTGTAAATGATCTTTGGAAGGGGGATGCTCACAGCCTAAGTCCAAGCTCTAACTAATGGGAGGTAGGACACAAAATATCTCTGCGGACAAGTTATTCCTTAGTTACCTTCTGCATAGTTTCAACCAGTTTCCTCTGAAGCAGTTATTTCTGGCCACTGTTAGAGAAAGACAGGATACTGGGCTAAGTGGTGCACTGGTCTGATTCCGAATGTTAATTAAGGATGGGAGCATATGAACTAACCCAAAGTACTGCTTCACTCTACTGCTTGAATTATCAGCGGGCCATTTGAGTGCACATTATACTGCATTACCCCTATTTCAGAGGAGATACCCTGCAAGGCAACTATAGGAAAAAACAAGAGAGTTACAAGGGAATTTTTCAACAAGTTAGATTCCAGAGCAGGCGTTCAGCACACAGTTTACTCAAAATTCAGTTTATTTTCAAACACCACCAAGTCCCATCTGCTATAGTCAGTTGTGCTGGTAACCTGAATCTCTGCCGCTATAATTCTTAAGGTAGGGGGCAGACTAACAGATGTTTTTAGACACAGACGATTGAGGTTCCCTCTCCCTAGGATAATCAGATGTCCCATTTTAAAAGGGACAGTCCGGTGTTTAAGCCCTCTGGTAGGTACCTGGTTTTAAGAAAAAAATCACAATAAGTTGTCCTGTATTTTCTGTTCCCCCTCCCAATCAGTACTGGTGGGTCCTGCTGCTGATTAGATCCCTGCTTACAGTAAGTGGGGGATCCAGTGGCCAACCATGGGGATAGGTGTGCAAGGCTGGTGGTGAAGATTCAGCATGCAGAGCTGGACCACTCCCCCTGATACTCCATCAGCACAGCCCCGTTACATGTGCGCTCTAGGCCAGCAGTGCCCCACACCCCCTCCTGTTTCTAGCTAGCACTGACTGTGTTCTGTAAGCTTAGGTGCCTGCATTAACTAGCCAAGTGGTGGCTAGTTATATGTTGCCTCTGCTGCTTGCCATCAGCCCCTATTGTTCCCTCACTCACTCTCTTCTCCTTGCTATTCCCCCCCCGTCTCCTCACCCCCTCCCCATGGGGCATATCCCTCTCCCAGCACTGTATGGAAAGCCAGCCCCTGGTTGATAAGCTGATCTTACAAGTAGCCTGTCTGAAAACCTCCTTCCTTCCCCCACTGTCTTGGGCTTTCCTGAGGCACTGGCCAGGAGGAGTAAGTCCTCCTTGTACCAAAGACCTGGACAGAACTAGCATGGGGACGTCTCTCTCTGCCCCTCAGTTTAGCTCTAGAGTGGGAGGAGGAAAGAAATGTCCAGCCTATTCCCACCCCAAACTTGCAGGCTGCACAGCAGCCCGCTGGGTTAGGGCGTAACTCCCTATTCACCTTTTTTCCCTCACTCCCTCTTCCTGCCTTTTGTCCTGTCCACAGGGAGGGAGGGGCAGTTCATTAAGCACCCTTCCCTGCTGAGTCACCTCTCCGGCCAGATTCCCATGTCCGACTTTTGGCAGACTGGTAACATATGCATATTCATTATGCAAATAAAATATTACTGGTCCACCAAAAAAGTTTGTGTATAGGTTTGCCAGTCCATGGTATTTAAAAAAAAGTTGGGAACCACTACTTTAATGCACATAAAATGTATTTTGCACATGGAAAAATTTAGAGGGAACACTGGCTGTGACCCTATTTGTGCCTCCCATCTCCCCCAACATATTGCCTCAGGAAGACAGTCCAGGTACCAGGAAAGGTTGGTTTGTCCCATAGGCCACGCTATACCTAGAGGGTAGAGTACTCCAGGGAATGTTGTTTGGTCACTACACTGTGCAAGAGAGAGGTGTACAGGAACAGGGGTGTGTGTGTGTGCGCATGCGCTCTCTTTCAACTTGATTTTATTTGAAAATATTTATATTGCATAGTTCTGATTGTTGTTGCACTCGCATGCATATGAGTTATTTTACCAGCTGTCCCATATCCAGCATAGGGAAATATGGTCACTCTACTCCTTACCTCCCCAAATAGGACACACTGACTATCCTTTCCAGGGGTTTTTGGCCATTAGCTTCTTAATAGCTCCACCCCACTCCCATTGAGAGAGTTCAGAAAGATAGAAATTAATGGAGTACAGTATGTCTTGTCATGGGAAATTTAACCATTCAAAGTTACATGGACTAGTTTACTTTATTTCTGAAACTATTTTAGGATACTTTCATTTTAAGTTGTGCTAAGAGATTCTCATCTTGCCATGAGAGGGCATTTTCACTCTTAAAAGTTCACTTCTTGGAATCCACACTGTTCAGTCTCACCCCTTGTTTCCCATTGGTATAGTAGACTTTTCTGCATTTTACAGACTAATAGGATATGTCTATATTTAAAAACCACCCCCCCCCCAAAAAAAAACCACCTCACCAAATCACCCCTCCAAGTGTTGCATATGTATGCATTCTAGACCTTGTTTAGTAAAAGGTTGCTATACAGGAATAAGCTCTGTGCACCAAAATTAATAATCAGTTTTAGCAAAATGAAGGTTATGCTATTTGGAGTGTACATCCAAGTCACTTACCGCTAAAGAGGATGTACTGGTCAGACGGCTGCCTAAATAACTTTCATTAGCTGAGCAGGGACTCCTTCCTTCTACTGTGTTGTGCGCCATTAAAGCCCTTCGAAGAGCTCGCTTTGGTGTTTTGGAGAAAGAGAATGCTCTTGTAACCTGCAGAGTTTGACAAGAGTTATTATACATATTAAATCTTAGTGAGAGACCATTAGCATCTCACATGCATTCACATTTTGATTTGCTATGGAATGACGTTAATAGTCTAGTCTAGAGACCTTGCAATAGGACACCATGTCCTACACTGCTTTCCACACAGCATCTAAGAGATCTATTTTAGCAAACAACTTGCGCATTACTTACTTTTCTATCCCTGCCCCTTCAGTTGAATGCTACATGTAGTTTGGACATCATGATTGCATTAACTTCACTTTACATACATACGTACAAAACAGCCACTCTTTGCAACTCTTCAGTATAACTGATAATCTTACTGTATAAGAAGTTTAGACAATAAAAGTACCTTGGATGTATTTACAATCCAGAAATTAGGAAAAGAAAATGAAATTGTGAAGACTTTAAAGTCTGTTTACATATAGAACTTCGGCTGCATTGGCAGAAATACCAACATAAATTTCTTGATTACTGTCACTAGTGGGTTTGGATTTGACCAATGTGGTTCAAATGACAGGTAATTACTTAGCAAGTAGGGAATTAAATGCTTACCCTTTTTGATGTCTTCTTGATTGCCCTGGATGCCCTACTCAACGTACTGTCCACATCTTTTGTATTTATGTCAACTGAATCAGGATCAGTAGTGTAAATGAGGTTTTCCTACAGACAGGCATAACTATAAGAACAGGTGCACAGATCCACCCGCATTTTTTCAATACGTCATCTTTAAATTCAAATTTTTGAATGTATTCAAAGTATTTATCAGTTCCTGTTTAAAGATCCCTAAATGTCACTGGAGAAGGGATAGCAAATATAGCAGTTATACTTAATCTTGCAGCGGCTATTTAGATTCAGTCGATTTACTGAAACTAGCTACTAGAAGAGTTTTACAGGAGACCTTAGACCCATTTTCAACATCAGGGTGGACTAAGGCAAACCAAGTGGGTCAAATCTGACGTTGTTTAAGTAGCCAGGCCTAATACACACATGTGGACTGTAAATTTAGTGGAATCATAGGAAAGACACTTCAGAACTGTAAAGGACCTATCTGATAGCCTTAAATAGATACATTCTTGATAATAGAGATCAATATCTTTGACCTATGTTGGGTTAAAAGTGCTTCATAAGATTCCAAGCTCCTCCAGAGAATAGAAATTAACATTACTGAAGTGATTAAAAAAATGTAGACTAGTCAGTCACATAATTAAGAGCAGTCCCCTAATGCATGGGATAGGATGAAGCTTTAAATATATTTGTTTTAATTTTAATTGCCAGTTTTAGAAGTCACTGACATCCCAATAAATTTTTCACACTCTGCATCCTTAAACTCCAGTAGCATCACAGGAGTCTTTAGATTAGACTATTTTTGTGATCGATAAGAAACTGATCTCTTGTGAATTCTGAGGAAAGCTGCCCAGAGAAGACTCTGCACACAGTTAAGTTTCAAGAACAGCTTATGACAGTGCTGTCCACTGTAGTGCTACTAGCCAGAGCTGGAGTTAAAGCCTTTACTGCCACCATGTGGCAGACTTGTAAATACCTACTTTGTTTATGAGAAAACATGGGCATAATTATATATCAGTTTTTTCAAAAAGGCATCCAGGTACAGATGGAAAAGAGGATCAAGCTTTTGACCCCCTAAAATTGGGGGGGGGGGGGCAAGATTCCAGTTCTATTTGATATTCAAACCAAGTGAAAAATGGGAGCACATTCAGGATGCAAGCGGGTTGCTTAAAGTGAGGTGGGGCTGCTGCCTTTAAGTTGACACCAATGTATATTACTACTTGGAAAACTAGTTGTAGTTAGAAATGGACAATCTTTCTATGCAGGCAAGAATTGTTTCATTTTATCATATTCCACAATGGGCGGCAGTAGGCATCAACTGTTGTTCTACTGTACTGTAATTTGATAGAACATTAACAGATTAGGATACATCATTTCTACTTCTATACTTTTTAGAATTGAGGGGGTTGCTGGCCTGCTTAGTGAAACAGTCAGATACTTCTCTCAGGAGAGCATCTATTACTGCTGGGGAGAGGCAGGACAAATCAAGGGTTAAAATATCCCTTCCCCAGAAGTTAACGCATTCAAAGTGAACCAGCAGATCAGAAATGATGCACACGTTCCAAAATAGTATCCTCATGCAAAAACAAACCTTTCTTTAAATGAGTTTGTTTCCTTTAAGGTTAGGGAAAAAGCCTCTTCAAATATTTAACAGATCATATAATGAAAAAGTAGCATATTGAACAATGACATCAAACTCAAATCAACTGCTCACTCAATTGTACTTTATGCATTTTCAATGGCTTTGGAAGGATAGATAATATGGCAACAAAGAAAATGTCAGCTAGAAAGTCTCTGCCCCGTTACCATTTTAAGTACTTATGTTGTATTTCGAAGTTTGTACTTCCAGACCAGAAGCTGGAAAAAGTATTCACTGGAAATGCTTAAGAGCACTGGGAGAAGACAAGACACCTTGGACATTCCTGTTTTGAGGTGAAAATTGCTTTATGGCTCTATGCCTTAGTGAGATAACATTTAATTCCTCTGTTCTATCAGGCTATCTATGTAGACCAAAGGGATTACAGTGTCAATTTTTACATTTTAATGAAGACACCTCCTGTTAGAAATGCTGAAGAGAGCACTGCATTAGCCTGGCATAGACTGGTAAAAGATCTAAAATAAAATTCAGTGTCGATGTACACTAGTGTCGCTACACTACAGACCTTGGGGATTGTTATAATCATAAAAGTATTAGTAGGGTGTTTTTTAAACTCTTAGGGTAAGTCTAGACTACATGCCTCTGGTGACATGCCTCCTGAGGCATACCTGGGAGGTCGACAAATGCCTTTGATGTCGACCCCCGCGCGTCCAGACTACCGCGCTGAGCCGACAAACAGCTGATCGGCTCAGCGCGGCAGCCATGTAAATTTAAATGAAGCGGCGATTATTTAAACCGCTGCTTCATTTTCCTATTCCTGGTAGTCTAATCTACATGCCTCTGTCGCCAGAGGCATGTAGTCTAGACGTACCCTTAGGTTCTGCAGAACCTAAGAATTTAAGGAGTAGACTTTTGCAGCCCTCTTATTCAGTTAGCATTGGCCCAGCATCTAAATACGCTTGCAATTAATTATTCTCATTGGTAACATAGTACTAGAGAACTTACAGCATCTGCTTTACAAATTGTGTTTGCTACATGCCGACACAGCATCTTCAGCCAATCCTCTTTAGGAAATTCCTCAGTTGTCATTTGAAAACTGAACAACAAGTTGTTCTGTGCTGTTGGTGGTCGCACAACCAAGGCAAAAGCTTTATGACAGTCTACAGTTGAAAGAAAAAACAAAAACATTCAGTTCACAGTGTTCCAGACAGAGGACAGTCAACTTTCATACAATTCTGGAAAAAGAAAAGATTAAGCAAATAAAAATAATAATTTATGTTTAAGGAGCAGTCTGGTTTAAATTAAAGACTATTAAGGTATGTCTACTGCACAGTTAAGACACCTGAAGTCAGGTTGTGACAGCTAGATTCAAGTTAGCAGGGCTTGGTGGCTGTTTAATTATAATGGAGACATTTAGGTTCTGGCTGCAGAGTGGGAGCATCCTAGAGCCTGGGGCTCTATCCCAAGCCTGGGCGTACACATGGCAATTAAAAAAGCCCCTTAGCCCAAGTCAGCTGGCACAAGCCAGCTGCAGGTGTCTAACTGAAGTGTGTAGACAGCTTTGGAGACAGCATGGTCTAATAGACATGGAACTGGTAGTCCCATAACTTGGATTTTCATCTCCGTTCTGCAATCTTATACAGGTTCAGTGATGCCTGACCTGTTGTGTGGGGTACTTTGAGAAGCAACATTGATGTGCCAGGTATTCTATTATGGAGAAAGTGTGACTATTCAAGATACAATACATTGGTCAAACTTTTATTACAACAACAACAACTTAAAGCAGTGATCACCAACCAGTAGATCAGGCTCTACTGGTAGATCTTGGACCATCTGATAGGTGATCCTAACTCGTTTGGCCAAGAGGCTATCAAGCACTTCAGCTGCCCCTCCCCACACTGCTGCACACCTTCTGCCCTTTGCCTTGGAGCTACCTCTCCCCAGGAGCCTCCTTCTTGCTGTGCAGAGCAGGAAAGGGAGAAGAGGGGTTGCTGATATCAGGGTTCCTCCTTTCCCACCCTGTATCCTATTTCCACAGAACGAAGGGGGACACAACAGGGCTTGTGATGGAATTTGATGGCTGCTTTGAAGAGTGGTTCAGGACCAGGACAGGGGTGAGCCTGCCTTAGACTCACTGCATCACCACGCAGGAGCCACCTGAGGTAAGCAGTGTCCAGCTGGAGCTAGCTCTGATTCCCCCGCCCTAGTCACAAACCCCCTTCTGCACCCCAAGCTCCTGCCTCAGGCTCAGCTCAGAGCCCCTCTCACACTCCAAATCCCTTAGCCCAAGACCAGAGCCCATGCCCCAGCCCTCTGCCCCAGCCCAGTGAAAGGGAGGGAGGATGGAGTGTGCAGGGATGGGGCATGAAGGAGGTGGGGCAAGGGTATTTGGGTTTGAGTTAGATCTTGAATTGGACTTAAATTAAAATAGTGATATTGTGCTTAAAAAGGTTGGAGACTCCTGACTTAAAGGATATGGACATAAAGCCCAGTCTGTAATGGACAATTGTCAGATAGGTGCAGCTGAACAAAATTGGGGGGAGGGGAATAACTCAGTGGGTTGAGCATTGGCCTGCTAAACCCAGGGTTGTGAGTTCAATCCTTATGGAGGCCATTTAGGGATTTGGGGCAAAAATTTGTCAGGGATGGTACTTGGTCCTGCCGTGAAGGCAGGGGACTGGACTCGATGACCTTTCAAGGTCCCTTCCAGTTCTAGGCGCTAGGCAATCTCCATTTAATTTAAGTGCAGACTGACAGTGCTCAGCATACTTCAGAAATGCAAGTTAAGAACTTGGTCAGAACTCTGAGATTGCAAAAAAGCCCAGAGGCTAAATTTCTTGATCAAGGTACTCTGGTAACCAAACTCAAAATCAGGATAGTAAAAACAAGCACTATTCATTACAACAGTATATTTTTTTTCAACTGTAGTTAAAACTAAAGTTTTAGACAGACTGTATGAAGCTGCCTGCTTAATTGATGGCTTTTTCCGACATAATATGCAAAGTGAGTAAGATCTGCTGAAGAGATCTATAGAACACTAGCCAAAACAAAAAAAGTTGCTTCACTTGAAGTGGAACATTATTGTATTTTAATTTCTAATCAGAGAATGTTTACAACAATTACAAGCTTCTGAATACTGATTTATGACAACATTGCTGCTTTAACCTTGAATAATCTGGCATGAACAGTTCCTACTGTGCAACATTAATCTGTGTCCAAGTGGTAACATGAGTTAAGTTAAATCTTTATCCTCGGGTGCCAGAGATACTTCCTGGAGTGCCATCACCACATTTTAAATGAAGATTTGTATTTGTGGAAATAGCAACGGGCCAAGCAACAAAAAGCTCACTTCTCTCAACAAGGGCTATGTTTAGAAGCTTTGTAAGCTTTTTTTTATTGAACCTTTCATAGTGCCATTTGGCTGGCTCTTCTCATTATGGTCATTAGTGCTTATTAAGAGATCACTGACCAGCAGGCAATCTTCAAATTTAAAAAAAAAAACCAAAAGCCACCAACACATCACACACCACCACCAAACCTCGTTGCTATGTAATTTCAAGCCAGAATATTAGCATTTGTAGCTATCAGTTTCAGTGTAATCACATAATTCTCAGACTATATTATATACGTGCTTCAATGTTCTAATCTCCCCTCCATTGCAACACTAGGTTTACTAGCAACAAACACCATTCCAAGCACAGACCTTCTGTCTCCCTGATGTCTAGCACTTTCTTGATCTGCGAGAGAGGCATTAGAACAATGTGTTTGAGAGATGCTGGGGGCCTGGTCTGGCCATGAGGACTCTTGAAAGCACTGATAACTTTGTGCCGTTTCCTTGCAATCTATAAGAGAATGAGGTAACAAGATTAAGTCTTATAATTAAAAGAAATCATTAAAATCAAAGCTTATGCCTTAGTGAGAAAACAGATGTTTTCATCCAGTAACCATCTCTTCCAACATAACAGATTTATACTTCTACCTGGAGAAGTTATATATCTCTTTTTCAGAAGAAAGCATGTGTTACTTGAAAGAGTATGAGATTCCCTCTCATCTGGTTCCCTTAGCGTGCTAAGATACTTTTGTATTCACCTAGCCTTAGAGCAAACTCTAAAAACAGATTCTGTCAGTGTTCCAGTAGGGAAGGTACCTGTTACCAGTAGCCCAGTCCAAGATTGGGGTTTCCCTATCCCTTGGCAGTTTAGAAAAATCGACTTCTATGCAATGAGAGAGTGATTTAAATCAGTTTTAGCTACAAACATGCTGAGGTAGTCTTTACCCAATGGAGATAAGCTACAGAAGAAAAAAAAAATAGTAAGCACAAAGCAATGAGGGCCACAGCGCTGGAAGATGAATGACCTAGGGGGTTCTCACAAGAGAAAATTTGACAGCTTTATGTTAGTTTTTTTTTAAAAACATCTAACTGCTCTTTTTCATGTAGTCAAGCACTACTTTCCATGCAGTTAAGAAGGAGAATTTGGGAGGGAAGAGTAGCGCAAGGTAGGGGACAGAGCTTCAACATACTCAACACAAGCCATCTTTTGCCTCTCCAACACTACCCCCACTCAAAGTAGTGCTTTTCCCTTCAAGCTTACAGTCTGCTGTTTTTTTTCCAGATATGCATTCGGTGTCTGAGGTGAGTCAGGTCACGACTCTGTTCTTATATACTCAGAAAACTGGCAGAATCTTTTATATACTCTGCTTGCTGCTTTGACAATTACTTCCTCTTCCATCTGCTATCACCTTTGCCCCAAGATTCTGTCACCTGAACCCTTATTCCCTTTGTTTACTTGAAGATCTTTCTCCCTTGAGCAGGGATGGGCAATAAGCAGCCTGGACATGGTTCAATAGGATTAGTTCCTGGTGGGCGGCTAGATGCTTTATTTACCTGGGCATCTGCAAGTACAGCCACTCACAACTCCCATTGGTGACAATTCACCATTCCTGGCCAATGGAAGCGGTGGAAAGCAATGGCCCGATCTGTACCGCTTCCCATAGCTCCCAATGGCCAGGAATGCTAAACCGTGGCCAATGGGAGCAGTGAACAGCCATGCCTGTTAATGCGCAGATAAATAAAGTGTCATGCAGCCTGCCATAGGCCAACCCTGGTGACCTGCACTATATTTATTGTAGCCTGCTTCTTGGAGAACAATAGCAGATACTTTAGAAACCGCATGAAATGCTCTTTCATCAGGAAGGAACAATACTGCAGTCTCCATCCCAGACTTCCTA